AATAAACAAATGACACTACAATAGAAATGTTTCTTTTACCTGATCATTTGGAATATTAACACCAGTTGATCTACACCTATAATTAGCAATGGCACGATTCAATACACAACACCAAATTGGTATTGTCTTCGACATGCTGTCGGGAAATCTTTTCCCTTTTCTTGTTGAATCAATGATCATACAACCTCCCCTTTGGCCTAGTCATCAAAAAAACAGAAAGACCCCCACATTAGATAGTACTCTCTGCACCTCAAAAAAAAATCACATTACTATTCACACGGTCAAACCATATATTATTTCTATGCATATTTCCATTGATCATTTGACAAAATAAAAGTCATGTCACCTCTTTTTTGTAATACTTTTAATGTAGCTTTTAAATATAAAAACCTATTTTTTAATTTTACATCAATTTTCGAATAAATTAAATTGAAAATAGTTTCACTCAAACATCGTAAATCAAACCAGAAACCTATTTCTATGCATTCATATTCACAAGGATGATGATGTCACTGAGGAACTAAGCCATGATGTCATTAATGATGTAAGCAATGGTGTCATCCGTGATCTCACCTATAATAACTACTACCCCCGTCCCAGAGTATTTGTCCAATTTTGACTTCGGTCAACTTTTTTCAACCTTTGACTTATAATTAAATAAAACATATATTGTATATTGATTAGATAAAACGAAATGGTTCTTTTGACCTTAGATTCTCGGGTCATATTATGACCCGAGCCCCTACGGTGCTCCGTTCGTAAAATTGATGGTTCCTACTCCCTAAGCCCCCTAAACCCTACCCCCTGCCCCTACCTACCCACCCCACCAAAGCACCTCCCCTGCTCCTCTCCCACATTTCGTCGATTGGAGGGGGGGTAGGAACCATCAATTTTACGAACGGAGCACCGTAGGGGCCCAAGTCATATTATGACTTTGGGCTTCAAGGTCAAAAGATCCCCGCCGTAGATAAAATAATATTTTAAAAATATTGTATATATCAAATCTTATTAAACTATTTTTGTATCGATATCTAATATCATTTTTATTTAATTTGAGGTCAAAGTTTACTAATTTTGACCAAAAAAAGTCAAAAGTGGACAAATACTCAGGGACAGAGGGAGTATATGTTTCTATCAATTCTTTATATAGTACTGTTGTCGAGGCTTTGTTTCTCCAACTACGCATGTCTCTATTTCTCTATTTTGGTCTGTCACACAATATTTACATTATACTTGTACCATATTTTATATGATTTATGTGGCTCAAATCCATTCGTAATTTAGATATTCAATATCGATCACACAATTCTGCTTTTCCTCGAGGAATGCTCTCAAAAATTTGAGATTTTACACGAATACTCCAAGATAACATGATGATCATTGGCACTCCCGAATATAAATACTTGTACAACAATGCTCCATGAATTTGTTATCGCACATGGATCCCCTATTTTTCATGTATATATGTGATCCCTTTATAAACTTGGAGCATTTCTTGTAAAAATATTTAAATTTTGAAAGTGTCGATGATGGTTGTGTAATCTCGGAGTATTCAGGTAAAATATCAAATATGTTGACATGCGGGCGTGAGATTTTCCTTTCCTTAATTTGCTAGTTGTTCCAAACTTAGTGGAACAGGGGGCGCATATCTTATGTTTGGCAAAGAACATTGATGATACAACAAACAAGCCATTTGAAAGGTTGATCCGTTCATAGACCATTTGAAATGTTGATTCTTTCTTGTGATGATGATCCATTGACTCTTATCTACGTCTACGACCATATAAATTCAGCACAGAATGGAGAGCAAACCCACCATTTCCTTTTCATTGATAATGGTGTACTGAGATAAAGGGAAACAATAAAATTTTGTATTGAGGAGGGCAGAAAGCTTACCGGCGAGCAGGGCTACATGAAGATTGAGACGAGAGGTGTTAAACGACCAGTTATTGGTGTGGCCATCGGTGGATTTGAAATAGCAGGTGGAGTGGAACTTTGGGGAATACCAGAGACCGCACCTGAGGTTCGCCAAAAGCGGAAGCTCCGGCCATAGCTCCGATATCTCTCCGACGAAGATCGAGTCCTCGTAGATCGAGCGCAGCGCGTTATAGAGACTGTTATGTTTTTGCTTTATGCTTCGAACTGCCTTGTAAATGCTTAGGGTAACTGATTTCTCCAGACCTTTATCCTCCATGGCAGCAGATTTTCCGGGTCGAGGATCCAAACTTCCAAGAAAACGTTCGGGTGATTTCCAAGCGGAGTCAAGGAATGAGCTTTCCTTCACTTTGTTTAACTGGGGAATAGCCGGCGAATAGGGGTGGGCATTATTCTATCCCATTAGTTACTACTGTACTAGTTATGATTTGATTTAAAATTCAAATTAATAATTTGATTTCACTTGTAATAACGTTTGACAATTGTAATGATAATTCAAATTATAATATAATCAATATTTTTTTATTTTGTGATTATTTTTTAATGAAATAAAAATTAGTTAATTCATATATTAGAATAATCATTCATATTATATGTAATAATATTTTTTATTTTATAATTATTTTTTTATGAAATAAGAATATTGATTTAATATTTTAATAATTAGTTCACATATACATTAGAATAAATATTTAATTCATATATACATTAAAAAGTAATAAAATTTAGATAATCAATATAGAGAAGAGATAGTATTTTTATTAAAATATCTCATCCTTATAAAATATCAACATGTACTTTGTACTACAAAACTTTTTTTATGATCAATATAACAACAGAGATAGTTATTTTAGTTTAGTTACACTAAATATACTCCGTATATGAGTATCAACTGTTAATTTTATTTAAGTCATGATCAAAGTTGATCAACACGATATAGTAAAAGATCAAAGCTTTAGAAACTCAAATTACAGGTAGCAATAAAAATACATTTTAAACGTAGAATTAGATTGACATTGTCAATGTATTTTAAAAATAATTTTTCCGTCGTTTAATAATTTAGGATTGCTTCCTCAGTTTTCTATTTAACTTGCTTCTAGAGTTTATTCTTTTTCATTTTTAATAATAATAATAATAATAATAATAATAATAATAATAATTTTTGATGGGATCTTATCTGATCTGGTCTGATCTTATTGGATCTAATCTGATCTGATCTGATTGATCTAATTAGATATGATCTGATCTGATTGATCTAATTAGATATGATCTAATCTGATTTGATTTTAATAAGAATAAGAAAAAAGCAAAAAAAATAAATTGACAATAACAGGGCCCAACTGGAAACCATGCCAAAACCCGACCCGACCTATTTTTATTCGGTCCAGTCTCTAGTCTTCACTTTTTCTTTATTCGAGTTCTGGTCTGATTCGGTCCACCGGGTTTCGGTCTGGATTGGTGGACTAGTTACATTTTATTTTTTAACATGTTTGTTTCTACATAATTTTATAATTTATTTTTTAATTTTTTAAGTTTTAACCTATACTTAAAATTAATTTAACTTTAATATAATTTATTTAATATATTCCAATTTAAAATAAGTTACTAATTCTAATGATATTTAAACATTTTAATATGAAAAGTGCAAAAAAAGTAAACATTATTTTTATATTAGTGATCTAATGCATTTGAAATTTATGTATCAATGCTATAACTTAAGTTTGTACTTTATCAATAATAAAACTCTAATTAAAAAAAATAAACCTTGTAAACAATTTCATGAACAAAAATAGTAAAAATGTATTCGTTTGCCAAAATAAACCAAAAACATAAAAAAATTACAAAGAGGTAAAACGCAGTAAGGAGAAGAAAATTCCTAATGTAAAATAAAAATTATGAACAAATTTTATGTAATATGGATGGAGGATATATACTTTATTTAAAGTTTTTATAAAAATTAAAAACAATAGTGTTCGACAATGTTTCGTATATGTTACGCATTAAAAATTAATTTTAGTAATATTTTTATGCAATTGAATACTTTAAATTTAAATAAATAAAATCAAATTCAAAAAAATCAAATTTATTCGGTCCGGTCCTGGTCCGAATCGGGCTAGTCCTTACCTTAATCAATTCGGTCCTCGGTCCACAAAATGTCGCTTATTTGATCCGGGTCCGATTCCAACACCCCTACTGTGGAGGAAATAAAGTTGAATAAAGTATGTAGAAATATTTTAAAAACTTTAAATTAGCCCTTCTATTTAAAATCAAAACAATTAAGTCTTTGTACTATTTATTTATTGAGTAATTTCATATTTCGTCCTTTATAACAATAATTTTCCATATTTAATCTTCTGCATGTTGTCAAATATTATCCGAGCGATCCTTCTTTTATGGATATCTTTGTACCAATATATAGTTCTTTTTTGACGTTGTGACATATTGATGTGAATTTGAGGGCTAAAAAGGTAATTTAACATCAACTTTATGTCAAGTGATATATTCTGATGTCGGTTAGATGGACAAAATAATAATAATAATAATAATAATAATAATAATAATAATAATAATAATAATAATAATAATAATAATAATGACGGTGGACTATGATTTCGACAAAAATTTACATTTGTAGATTATGATTGTAGTAGAAAACGACTGTAGTTCACAAACGATGCAATAGTAATAATAATAATAATAATAATAATAATAATTAGTAACAATTATAAAATTATTAATATTAATAGTAATAATAATAGTAATAATTATAATAATAACAATTGTGATAATAATTATAATCATAATATTAATAGTAGTAGTAATAATAATACTAATAATAATGGTAATAATAATAATGTTAATAATAATAATAATTTTGTTTAGATTTGATCGGATCTAATTAGATCTGATTTGATTCAATTCAATCTAATCTGATTTGATTTTAATAGAAATAATTAAAACAGAGGAAGCACTAGAAAATAATATAATGTGCTATCTTGGCTTCATCCTCTTCCTCCCCACTAATCTCTCTATCTTGTCGCAGCTGAAGTTAAAGGCGTTAGAAGGGCTTTAATGCTTCATAATCTTCATTCCTGGTGAGTTTACGATTTCTTTCCTTCTGTGTTTCTTGATTTGTTTGTTTCAAAAACCAATTTTCATATTCTAATCAATAGGACTATTTTTCAAAATTTTCCAATTTTCGTTTAGGACACATTTTGGTTTCAGATTTTTCTAATTTTTCTTCAATCCCAAAAATTTGATTTTTGTGTCTTCATATGGGGACTGGGGTAGCTTTGAGCTGGGATAATGCCGAGAATGTCACCGCTGCGTACTTGCACTGTTTCTCTTCAAACCTAATTTGAGAATATTTATCAATTTTAGAAGTTTATATTACCTTTTTGACAGATTGTGGCAATGCAAGAACCAAGTCCAGCAACAAGTGATGTATCTGAAATTATCAATTCTTTGAAGATAAAGGTTGCATTGGAGCGTGACTTTTATATAAAGGTATGTTCTGCTCCATGACTGACTTAGACATCAGAATGTTCATTCATTGTCTAAAAAATCTTATCAAATGTTAGTTTTTTGCTTATTTTCTCACAGAAAAGGATTCAAGAAAACACACAGAAGCTGGTTCATATTGCAAAGGTGCTCCATGAATCATCAACAGAAAGGAGAAATCTCCAGATTCTTGCACCGGATGGTAGTGTTGATCAACTGTCAAAGAGACAGAAGGATGCTATCGATATGCAAAATGGAATCGATGCCCCTAGTCACATGGAAAATGGCTGCAGTAGCCCTAAGGAAGATGGTTATGCCTCTGCGATTCTTTTAGGTTCAAGCATTGCTGTCAAGAATGCTGTTCGCCCTATTAAAATTCCAGAAGCAAAAAGACTGCCTCCTTATACTACATGGATTTTTTTGGATAGGTGGGTTATTATAGAGTATTAATTTGTTTCCCCTCCATTCACTTGTTACTCTAGTCTCTGTAACATTAGAGCATGTGCAATGGCAAGGAAGAGGGATGCCTTGCACTGCCAGATCAGCTTCTTCCACTCATATCATGGCATGGCATGGCCAAAATGCCTTGCTTGGTGAGGCATGAGTGTGGCACTTCATACTACTTTTTTTCTTTTTTTTTTAAATAATTTTTTTAAAATTTTTTATGAAAAAAAATGTACAAGAAAGTAGAATAATTTTTTAATAAAATAAATAATAAAAATATTTTTTTTATGTTTAAAAAACATAAAAAAATGTAAAAAAGTGATAAAAATAATGACTTGTCATTGTAGGACTTGCCACTCCATTTACTTGTCACACGCTGACTGGACTATTTTTGATTGGTTAAAATGTTCCATGTCACCGTGTGGCATTCCATTTTCGCCTTGCCATTGTTGATGCTCTTATAATTTAGCTCTTTTGCTAAATGCACGTGCAACGACAGCCAATGCTCTAATATTTGAGTCTCCCTTGATTCCAATACTTGGCTTCGCCTTGCCATGCATTTTTGTTGTGTTTTCTTTTCTTCCTAAACATACTTTGCAGGAGAACATATTGCAAAAACTCATATAGCATAACAAATATTTATTTCAAAGGAAATTATGGAAACACGTGCTTCTTGGTTGACATAAGTGTAGTTCTTTAACCAGGCATTCAATTCTGTGTTTACATTTCTGTTACTAGGATTGTTGAAAGAATTTTAACCGTAGCTAAATTTGTGCAGAAACCAAAGGATGACCGAAGATCAGTCTGTGGTAGGTCGCAGAAGAATTTATTATGATGAGAATGGTGGAGAAACTCTAATTTGTAGTGACAGTGATGAAGAAGTAATTGAAGAGGATGAAGAAAAAAGGGACTTTGCGGAGTCGGAAAACTATATTTTGCGGTTCGTACAATTTACCTATGTGACATGCTATTTGTTATGTGTTCTGTGTATTGACTGTATTCCACATTGGGCACCTGTTTGGATGTTATATTTGAGATTTCCCATCATGAAAGTGTGCTGTAAAATGTCAAATTCTGTACTTTTGTGGAAATCAGCAATGCAAATATTAACTATATTACTATCTCAAATTGCATTTCCCATTAGAATGGCTGTCAAAGAGGCTGGTTTATCTGATACGGTGGTGGAATTGCTAGCTCAGTGCTTGTCTAGAAAGCCTTGTGAAGTAAAGGTATCCTCTCTCATTGATCATGGTGTTAATTAATTCTGTAATGTTCGTTATTCCCAACTTTATTATCTAATAAAACTGGTCATAGTGTGAACTTTGGTCCAGCTGTTTCCCGGTTCATATTTGCTGGCTTTACGGATATAAACCACCTTCACACATCTTATACAGGCAAGATATGAAGATCTAATGAAGGAAGACTTCTCTGCTATGAATGATAATACTCAAGGCACTGCAAATTTGTATCTTGACAAAGATCTTGATGCAGCAATGGATTCATTTGACAACCTCTTTTGCCGGAGATGCCTTGTGAGTAGTACATAATTTGATCTCCATTTACTTGACCTGGATAAATTTTGTTACTCCCTTTGTCTAAAATAAACTTCTCATTACTTTTAAGTAAAGCATTGGATGGTCTACATTATTTCTTCTATTCATAGATGATATATCTCAACCATACAATTTCACCATTTCTTAAACTCTGAAAAACCAAATGGGAGTATTTCTTGTAGTGGTCACCAGTCGCTGTTATTAATGGCAGGGACCTGATAATAGCCGATGTCTACAGGCCACCATAGGTAACAGGTGGGTTCGGAAAATACCTTATCGACCAGCTTTTAGCTTTTTCAACTGACTTTGGCTGTTTTGACTTTTCAAAAAGCTAACTTCAGTGTTCTGCAAATGGTTTTTTCAATGGGTTGCTCGATCCGAAAAGCCAAAATCTGAAAATCTGGGCAAGCAGCTTCTGGACTTGGCTTTTACGGGGGAAATTGAATATCTTTTTTTTCATTTTTCCTTAAATGTATAAACACACACACACACACACATATATGTGTGTGTGTATATATTCATTTATAGAGAATACTTCTTCCTTCCAAAATCATCTCCAGAATAAGAAACTCGCACTATGCACGCCTTCTCATTTCACCATCTTGTTAGATACGTCTTGTTAACAATTTTCATATTATTTATTTCTATGAATTTTATAACAATGTAATTTAATATATTAATAATTTAATTTGTACATTGACAAAAGCGAGAAACAAGTATTGCATTTATTTTTTAAAAATGAAAGTAATTTTATCTGGAAACACCTTTAGTGACAACTTTTACCAAACATTTTTAACAAGCAGCCAACACATCTACTCGGTCAAAATCGCTAAACCTATCAGCCATTCAAAACATAAAACAAAACATAAAACAACGACACATAAAGCAAATGACAACCAACTTCCAAAAGTGGCCAACAACTCTTCACAAATTTAAAATGGCTGATGGCAAAAAATTCAACACTCCTTTCTTCTATGCCCCCTCCATACCCGCCATTTAGGCCCTGTTCTTTTGGTTTAGAGTTGGATGTTGGAAGAAACTAGAATGAGTTGGAAAATGTTGGAAGAATTAAAGTGTTAAAAATCATTCAATTAAATGATCACCCAAATAAATATGTAAGAAAGCTCTACTTTTAGATAAAAAATCAATCCTTGTGCGTGTTTGTGGTGGTATGTTATAAATTTGGATACATAATGTTATTGTATATTCATCATATATAAATACCTTTTTTAAGTCGTTGTTGGAAGAAACTGGAAGGAGTTGGAAGGAAGTAGGTGTTGGAAGAAACAGGAAGGAATTGGAAGTTAATTTTTCCAACTCAAAACAACAGGGCCTTAACATCACTGGAATAGGTGAGTAGCTCCATTTTGAGGCATCTTATGTAAATGTTTTTATTTTATGTTTTCTAATGTTGCTTCAAATTTTCTTTAAAATAGAAACAACAAAACTTCAGACACATTTTTGTTTTTAGTTTTTGAAAACATAAATTATAATTTTGTTAGTTATTGGAAAATGAATTTTTGTTTTAAATGTTTTTGAATTTATGTTTATCTATTTTTTGTATCTCTTTTTTTCTATTTTATTTTATGTTTATTTTTCTTTGGGTTCTTTTGTGTTTTGAGCTTGGGGTCTCAGAAACAACTTTTCTACTCTACAACTAGGATAAGGTCTACTTACACCTATCTTCTCCATGTCTCACTCTGGGAATTTACCGAGCTTCAATAGTTCTACAAAAACAAGTGCGACAAGACTATTTTATTCTATCAAATGATCAATGAAAATACAACTCAGTTGAATCCCACAAGCATAAGGCCTGGGGAGGGTGTGTGAACGCAGACCTTACCCCTACCCCCAAAAGTAGAGAGGCTGTTTCCAAGAGACCCTCAACTCAAGTGGTAGATAGTAGAAACTCACATAAGACACATAAGGCAGAGGAATCACAAAACACAAAAAGCCAAGACAACTAATAATAATGAGAGAAAGGCATAGCAAGTAGAAAGCACTAAGCATAGAAATCACAAAGAGAAGAGTGAGAAGACTACCACCCAATCCAAGACGCAAACCCAACCGCACTAATCCTGGCTCTCCAAAAGTTCTTAACTTCTTATCTAAGGCAATATCTTCGACAAAGGTCAGAAGTCTTAGGTGTGTCTAATTACCTCCTAATTTTTTCTAGGTCTCCTCCTTCCCTTACCCTCTCCCACCACTGGGGCCTCATCACGTCGTCGTCTCACATGCCCAAAGCACCTCAACCTAGCTTGTCGCAACTTATGCTCCAGCGGTGCTACTCCCACCTGTCCCCGGACAACCTTGTTCCAGATCCTATCTAACCCCGTCTTTCCACACATCCACCGCAGCATCCGCATGTCCACATCATGTATTCCATCAACATGGGTCTTCTTAATTGCCCAGCACTCCGCACCATAAAGCATAGCCGGTCTGACTACAGACCGATGAATGAAAATATATAATGAAAGAGAGTATGATCTGACTCTTGAATAGTAAATGGGAGGATTATCTAGGGACAAACGTCACAAACTACCGAGGGAGTATTAAATTATGAAAGTTAACCTAATTTAGAGATAATAAAAAGGAAAGGGTTTCTAACAAAATGGAATGAGGAAATATTTTTATAATACAAAATATTAATTTTACATGCAAGAGATACCAAAAAATAGATGTGCACACAACTAAAGAGATACTCCCTCTGGGCCAAATTTATCTTCCTGTTTTTTTCAAGACGTCCCAAAAAAGGCTTCCATGTCTTTTTTTGGAATGCTTTTTGTGGCTCAACATCTATCTCTCTACTCTTCATCACTTTCAACCACCCAATTTCACTTTTCTTAAAGTTTGTGCAAACCCAATCAAGAAGATTAATTTGGGCCGGAGGGAGTATATGTGTTGCGTGAAAGCTGAAAGTGTACAACAACAACAGACCCACTGGGTCTGGGAGGGAGTGTACACAGACCTTACCCCTTATAGATAAAAAGGAGGGTGTGAAAGCTGAAAGTATACAATAAATAAAAGAACTGTTTTTGGAACAGAAACCATAAAACATGACACAATCAATCTAACTATCCACATTCAGTATGCTAACTATGGTTCTTTTTTTGGCTCTCAGGTCTTCGATTGTAGATTACATGGATGTTCGCAGGATCTTATATATTCAGTGAGTTGAGCTTTTAGAGCAAAAATGTATGGAGTATTTAGTGTGGGACACTCATGATGCCTTGTACATTTTTCAGGCTGAAAAACCACCTTTGTCCTTGGGTGCTGATGCAGACAAGGAACCTTGTGGCTCTAATTGTTTTCGTGGGGTATGTTCCTTTTACTCTTGACTTCCTAACCTGATTTTCTTTGCATTCCGCTTCCTTTTCCCCTTAATGTCTTAGTTTCCCATTAGACATATACTTGCCCATTTTTTTCTGTCCTTGCTATCAATTGTAATGAGAATCACAATTTTTTTTCAGATGCCAAAGCCAGAATGTAACTCCAAAATGACCTCTTCACATCTATGTGAAGAAAACATTATCCTATCATCTGAAGGTGGTACAGTTGAGTTACCCTTGAATAAGAATGTGGAGAAAATATCCAAATCTTCACATAGTGAAAGTGCTTCTACTGTCAAAAGATCATCTGAAAGTAGTGACTCTGAGATTCGGCCTACAAGTGATGCCACTTCTAGAAATTGCTCTGCATCACCCAGTAAAAGAAAAGAAAGTAAACACGGAAGCAATAAAAGAAATAGTAAGCGCATTGCTGAGAAAGTTATTGCTGCCATAAGAAAGAGGCAAAAGAAATCAGCAGCTTCTGAGCATGACTCTGTTGTGAGTGGAAGTTTAGGTTCAAAAAGTTTGACCCATCCTTCACCCAAAGACAATGAAAACATTTGTTCATCTGCACAAGACGAGCAATTTCATAATAGTAGAAAGCCTAGGAGGAAAGCATCTCCACTTCTGGAAGCCAACAAATCTTCACATTGTGAGGCCACAGTTTCAACCCAAAATGAAGCTGTAAGTGATCGACTGGTCACGAATGATATAGTTCAGAAGGCAGATGAACTTGCAAATGAAAATATTTTGAAGAAAGAAGTAAATGGAGATAAATCTTGGAGACCAATTGAGAAGTCTCTTTTTGAAAAGGGTCTGGAGATTTTTGGTAGGAGCAGGTTAGTGCACTTAAAGTTATAGTTACCAGTTTCTTTGCCCTCGTTCCATTTATGTGTTGGCTAGTGCAAGGAAGCTTGACTTAAGTCATTGATAATCACCCATCTCCTTTTGACGTAAGAAATATGTGGTTCATGCTATTTCTCTCTTCTGAATAAATTTCAACCAACTTTTCACTTTTCTTAAACTGTGTTTTCAGTCAAATGGGACATTAATATAGGGACAGAAGGAATGTTATTTAATTTAGAGTCAGTGAATATGAGCAATATATATATATATATATGTATGTATGTATGTATGTATGTATGTATATGTATATATAGAAACTACATATAAAAGTTCTATTAGTAAACAACCACATTTAATAATTGAGAGAAAATATCGAAGAAAACAGGTGAAGAACACATAGTTGGATTGAACAATAAATAGTACAGAGTAACTAAAATGGGGTGTATAAAATATTGTAATTGTCTAGTTTGTACACACTTGTTCGCTTGTTTCTTTCTGAGAGATTTCTCAATGTTTTTGAGGTTTTTTTTTGGTTTCTTATTAGTTGATATATTTTTATTCGTTCAATTATTTTAAAGTTGCAGTATTGTCTCTATAGTTTGTAATTTCTCATTTCTATTCATTTCATTGGATTTGCAAATGGTGCATCTATGTTTCATAAGTTGATGGATATTTGCGTTGTCAGTGAATTAACTGATATAAGTATATAACATGATTTACTGGTTTATGACATCCCTTTTTGTTAGGGGTGAAACGGGGGTCTTATTAAGTTGATAATTTAGTGGCGGATTTGCGGAGGAAAATGGAAGGGAAATAGTGGGCAAAAGTATGGATGGTGTTTTAGGAGTTCTTTTTGGTATTTTATGGAAGAAAAGAATAGGGTTAAGAAGGAGAAATGGAGGGATATGAAATGGAAGAAAAATCAGGGATGGATAAAACCAAGTTGGTGTTAAGAGATATTACACACTCTTATCCTAACTTGGGGTTTGAATCTAGAATTTAATTAAGATATGACACACTTAATCAAATATCTAGAACCTAAAACTCACACTTAAGATAACCACTCTTAAGATATAGATTTAGGAATTTAAATAGCAAACACAACAAGTGTATTACTAAATGGAAAATGGAATTACAATGTGAGTCTCACAAAAGGGCCTAAGGCCGAAATAAATACACACACATAGGGGGGAAACTTCCCTGAAACATCCACTCACAAATCACAAGAATAATATCCATTTGTTTATGTTTTCTTAATGGAATGAAATCAGGGATTTGGTCTTTGATTTTCATGGCTGGTGGCTTGTCCTTTAGTGAGGAAAATCACAAGGAAATAAGTGATGATTCTTGGGAAATAATGGGGGACAAAGGGGTTGGTTTTATTGGCCTTATATTGGGTCATTCATGGAAGGTATGTGGGGACTGATTTGGTGGGTGGAGTGTCAATAAACTCACAAAAGTNGGTGTTGTGTTGGGATTGTGAGGTTTATTTGGGCAGGGAATGAAAGGAAGGAAGAGAGGGTTTTACTGGTTTATTAAAAGGCTTAAAAGAAGGAAAATAACAACAAACAAAAAGGTTTTGGTTTATACACTCTTATTTTCGGCCATGGCTAAAATAAGAGTAGGAAAAACTTTATTTTGAAAAGGAAATATTTTGGATGTTTTGGGATGGTTTGGACTGAAATGGGAGTAGACCACAGAACCCTCGGATCAAACGGAGGTTGTTTTGGCCTTTTGGGTTTAAGGACCATTTGAATTCAACTAAAATGGATCATAATATTTGAATATAAGTCCTTTGGTTCTTATGATAGTGTAAGGCGTGAGTGAGAGTTTCATGGGGCTAGGCTCGGGTATAACATCCTCCCGGTCTTCAAAAGAGTTTGCCCTCAAACTCAACGGATAATCAAGACCGTCATATGGACTGAGGTCTCTCTTATTGAACGTGGCAGAAACTCCATCACTT